GGCCAAGTTTTATCCCATTCGGGAGCCTGGCTATTCACCGTTAAGCTGTTTTCCTTGCCATGCAGAAGTTTTTTACCTTGCTGTAGCCTCATTTGTTGATTCTTGCTATTATTTCTGATATTACTGGAGTCCTGTTTGAGAATTCTTTGCCTGTGACTTCTAGTGTTTTCCTTTAGTAATTTCAAAGTATCAGCCCTGTGATCCACTTTGAATTGAGTTTTGTACAGGGTGAGAGTTAGGGGTCTAGTTTTAATCTTCTACATATGGACATCTGTTTCCCCAGCATTACTTTTAAAGAAGATGACTTTTCTCCAACGTATGATTTTGGTCCCTCTGTCCACAGATGGCTGTAGCTGTGTGCGTTTGCTTCTGTGTCCTTTATTCTGTTCCACAAATCTGCATGTCTATTTTTGTGCCTATACCATGCTATATGTTACTATGGCTTTGTGGTATAATCAGAAGTTGGGAATTGTGGTGCCTCCAGTTTTGCTCTTTTTCCTTAGGAATGTTTGGCTGCTCTGGGTCTTTTGTGTTTCCATATCAATTTGAGAAACATTTGCTGTTCTGTGAAGAATGCCATCGGTATTTTGATGTGGACTGCAGGAAACCCGTAGATCCCTTTTGCTAATATGGCCATTTTAGCAATATTAATTCTGCTAATCCCTGACTCTGTGAGGTCTTTGTGTCTTCTGATGTCTTCTTCACTTTCTTGCTTTAGTGTTGTGAGATTTTCACTATAGAAGTCTTTTACCTCCCTGGTTAGGATGATTCTCAGGGTTTAAGATACTGTGAATGGAACTGCTTTTCTGATTTCTTTTTCAATGGGTTCATTACTAGTATATATAAAACTACTGATTTTTCTACGTTGATTTTATATCCTATTAAGTTGATTTTAATAAAACTTATTGTATGGTGCTCCAAAGTTCTGACAGCCATATGTAGACATAAAGTCATTTCAAATAATTCAAGGAAGTTGAAATGCTCATTTATTGAAATGACTTATAGGAAAAGGCCACGTGAAAGATCTGACATACAGAGCAATTTTTTTTTTTTTTTTTTTTGTAGTTTAGGGAAGGGTTTACAGGGTGTTCAGGGTCTCATTACTAGATGGGACTGGAAGTGATCTGCCTGTTTACAGCCTCCCAAGTGCTGGGATTACAGGTGTGTGCCACCATGCCCAGTCTCAATTGCCATCTCAGCACACCCTGGGGGCGGGGCTGGCAAGGCAGGCCAGCAGATCGAATCCCCCCACCCCTGAGCCTGCTTGCAGGCACTTTAATCCGCTGAGCTATCTGGCTGGTCCTCAGAGAAACTTTAAAGAAATGTAACTTTAGTATTTCATATAAGCAGTGGAAAACGTGGATCCAATGAGGAAAGGTTAGGAGATCTAAGAACGACAAGCCATCAATCCCTTGTAAAGAACTCGTTATTCCTAAATGTGTAGCGCAGTTTGATTCTTCAAGCATTTTGAGTATTGCTGTAATCTTGTTTATAATTTTCCTTTGAGGTGCTTCTGAAGGAAAAGCTGCTGAACAGCACTGTAGCACACTAGATCACATGAAGCCAATTTAACGAACTCGGGATTCTAATCCATTTTTGTGGAGCGCAACCCTCACCTCTGATACTTCTCTCAAAACAAGAAGGGACTCGATCTTACTCTGTCATGTACTGAAAATACTAGATGTTTTCCAGCTAAGGACAAATTTCCACAGTCACTCCTGACAAGAACAGCTGTGATTCTCTAATGACCCTATACCAGGCTTTCAAAACCACATGACTGGAAACTTCAACGCTCCGAGAGGTGGGTGAGTAAGGGAAGGAACAAGAGGCAGGAGCTGTGCATGTGGGCACAGTTAAGGGCCAGAAGCTCATGTGTGACAGCTTTTCTTGCCAATTTGGCTACCTGGCCCTTGGACCTATCGCTTGTTTCCTTCCACTGCAGGGTGAGGAGGACGCCTCCACCAGCCTGCCTTGCACTAAAACACAATCTCTGCCAAGGACTAGTATAGAGCATGTGTTTAATGGACATTAGCTGCTGGACAGCTCTCCTCTAAGAGTCACTGTAAGGGGTCATTTTAAAACACAAGGAAGACTCGAGGGGAAGAGCAGTGAAAAGGACAAAGTGGAAATATAAGCTTTGGACACCACTGCATCCTTCTTCCATCCTGCTGGGCTCTGCCAGTGGACTGGCACGAGGCCTGGGTGGCATGTCAGGGATGGTGGTCTCACTGCAAAATGTATGCCCCAGGCCAGGCACTGAGGGTTAGAACCATTTTTCTGCAGTGCAGGTTAGTGATGGCCAAAGCCCAACAGGGTTGTAAAACAGAGTAGGATACAGTCACCAAAAATATTCGGGGACCAATCCCTGGAACCTGTGGCTGCTACCTTACATGGGAATAGGGACTTTCAGATGTGATCAAGCTGGTGGTTTTCAAATGGAGAGATAGTATGAATTATCCAGTGGACCCTAAATTACAATGAATCCTGACAAAAGAAAGAGAGAGACACATTTCACACAGACAGAAAAGAAGGTAACGTGACTGCAGAGGTGGAGGTTGGAGTGATATAGCTACATGCCGAGGAATGCCAATGGCCACAAGAAGTTGGAAGAGGCAGGAGGAGAGTCTCTCCTGGAGCTTCTGGACGGGGCACAGCTGGTGTGTCCCACCCAGTCAGCACGCCCTGCCCAAGGGTGCCACCATCTGTCCTCCCTGCCTAGACTGCCTTGATGTGCCCATTGCTCAAGGAGTTCTGGGTCACAGGAGGTTCCACGTGTCCATCTGGCTCCTGGCCCTTCACATCTCTGGACTCAGAGAGGACAGTGACCATTTCTTTTATTTGTTGTGCACTGCCTTTGCTATGGGCAAACCTCTAAAACCTGACAGGGACCTTTAGCAGAAGATTAAATCTAGAACCATATCTATCACTAATGCACCAAAACAAATAAAATGGAGGAAAGACATAGATATTAGAACAGAAACAACCTGGGGCCGGGGAGATGGCTCAGTAGGATAAGTGCTTGACTGGCAAACACAAGGATCTGAGTTCAATCCCCGGTTCCGAAAAAAAAAAAAAAAAAAAAAAGAACAGAAACAACCTACTTGAAGATAAACTAGGTAAAACTTTAACACATAAACACAGGCAAGGACTTTCTAAACAGAACTCCAATTGCATGAGATACAGCATCAAGAATCAACAAATGATTAGATTAAAAAGGTTCAGATTAAAATGGTTCTGCAGAGCAAAGGAAATGATCGACAAAGTGATGAGACACCACAGAATGAGAAAAATGTTGGCCAGTAACACTTCAGAGGTCTAATATCAAAAATTTGCAAAAACAAAAATCATACTCCCCAACATAGGAGAGCCAATCAAAAAATGGGCAACTGAGACAAATAGATGCTTACCAGAAGAAGTACAAATGGCTAGTAAATACATAGAAAACAATGCTCAACATCTCTGATCAACAGAGAGATGAAAATTAAAACAATACTGAGATTCCATCTTACTCCAGAAACAATGGCTATCATTCCAACAATAATAAATGTTGGCAAGACTGCAGAGAAGCAATAGCCCCTCTCCATTACTGGTAGGAATGTGAACTGGTGCAAGCACCACGGCAGTCAGCGTGGAGATTCCCCAAGAACGTAAAACTAGCAATTGCGCTGGACCCAGCTATTTGTCCTCTTGGTATCTTCCCCAGAGAGGTACGGGTGTCCTGTTATGGTGATACATGCATACTCATGTTCACAGCAGCGTGGCGGGTGACAGCTAAAGATGGGAAGTGGCCGTCAAGAGCTGCACGGATCAAGAAGATGTAGTATGCACACACAATGGCGTGCCACTCTGCCATAAAGAAGCATGGATTCGAGCCATCTGTAGGAAAGTGGAGGCACCTTGAGGCCACAACAGTAGGTGAAGTAAGTCAGACACATAGCTGAAATACTACAGAATTGCTCTTGTGTGAGAAGCCCAAAGTATAAATAACTAAAAATGAACAACATGAAAGACAGTAGGAACCAGGGAGCCAGAGGTTTTGCAAGTGGGGGGGAGATGGAGCAGGGAATTAGAAAGGGGAGTGAAAAGAGTTCAGATAAGTGAAGTCCATGGAGCTACTCCCTAAGGTGAATGTACATACTGTGTACTGCAAACACAGGCTCATAATACAATTTAAAAGAAAACCATTGTTCCAGGTCACACCTTGGGGGACCTACCTCTCCCGACCAGGCCCCGCCTTCCAACAACACATTCAGCTGCAAACTCATCAGCACAGTAACTGTAGGGGAGAGTTTCACCTCCCGATCTAAGCCCCACCTCCGAACAAGGCGGGAGGACACTGTAGAACTGGACTCTAACAGTCAGAAAATGAAATTTCACTATTATTTTAGTGACTCACCTATATAAAGTAGGCCTTTAGATGGCCTACAGAACTAACTGGCTGCTACAGTTGCTAGCTCCCTCAGATAGCTTCCTGTATTTCTACTTTTAAAAGAGTGGAGGATTTGAGATGCTTCTCTCAGGATGGCTTAACCCTAAAAAAAAGCACAAAGCTCTTTCTTTAAAGATGATTAAAAATAAATAAATAAAAAAAAATAAAGATGATTCAGATTGAGATTAGTTTCAAAACACCTTCCTCTGTCTAGGTCCATGGGGGTGTTACCCAGTAATAGCTAGGTAATAAACTATTATCTAGCTAAAGTAAAAGCTATGGCTATTTCTAAATAAACCTGCATAAAAGATAGAAGTATTTACTATTTGCTACAGACAAGCATGAAAGAGAAATCTCGACAGAGTCGAAACTTTTGTTGGAGTGGTGATATAAAGTCTTTAATTTAGGTAAGCACATTATGAAAAAGATATAAAACTGCCAACTGCAGAGTCTTCTACTGAAGAGTTTTTCTTTTAGTTTTCAGTTTTTAAATACATAAGGAAAAATCCCTGATCCCACTAAACAAGCATTTGCTTTTACATATGCAAATATTTTTAAACAGTGTACTTGCCTTGATATGTTCTAACCAATGAGTGGACTCCAAACTGGACAACCAATGAGATTCTTCCACATTAGGATAAACAATGTCTTTCACTTTTTTTAAAGATTCTCGCATAACATGAATATTGTGAATGTCTAAGAAGGACAGTTCGGCATTGTGATATGCGTCATCACTTTCATATCCTCCTCCTGTTGCCTGTGAGACAAGAAGATACATAAAGTTGGGTTTTCTCTTTCATCGGTAACTTATGCAAATACTTCAAGTCATTCTCTCCAAATCTCACCCCAGTCCCCTCTGACTTAAATAGCTGGTGTGGTCTGGGTACAAAGCTGGCAGTTTGCTAGGGACTCCGTATTCAGGAGAGAAAAATCCTTTGCCAAATGATCTCTAATTACTGTTTCTTCTGGATCTACAGGCCAAGAGCAGGTTCAGACAGGTCCTCATCCTCCATCAGTCCATCGCTAGAGTAGTACCCTCGGGGCGAGGGCACAGAGGCAGCCCAATTGAAGTGACAACAGGCATCCTGGCTTTGTAACAGTGTACACACAGCACAAGATGTAGGAGAGGAAAAGGACAAGCTGTGGATCAACAGACCCAGGCCAACACTTCAGCTTCAGCTTCCGCTCACTGTGTGACGCGGGGCAAGGCACTTAACCTGAGCCCTGATGCCATCTCTAAAACAATCAATACCACTTTCTAGGGCTTGCAGGACTAACCACCAGCCACTGTTGAGGTCTCAGGTACTGTGATCCTCACTGTATGAAAACTTACCTTTTACAAAGATGCAGCAAGGTAAGTATGGCTATCCTCACTGTGCAAAGAAGCAAAGAGAAACTTGGAGATGCTACTGAGTCACTACCGAGGCACACGGGTAATGCGTACAATTTCAGACTAATCCAACTTTCACATCCAAAACTTTTCTATGCCACCACGGAGGTCTTCCTGCTCTGCATACACCAAGGACAGAGCACCACACACAGACACCCATGACGAGTATAAGGTTCTCAGAGGGGACAGGTGGCCGCCACCTACTGCAGCACCTACATGCACTCACCAGAGCACAACCCCAACACTGACAAAAAGAGGCATTACAGTTTTGTTGAGGGACCTGATGGCACTCTGCTTAACATGTTCAGGATGAGGCTATAGTTATATGTCCCACTGCAAGGTGTCCTGAACCACTAGTGGCACGTGGATGACTGTCCCATTGGGCAGCCTTTAATTGTTATTATTATTTCTTTTTTGCGGAACCAGGGATTGAACTCAGGCCCTTGCACTTGCCAGAGAAGCACTTATTCCACTGAACCGTCTCCCCAGCCCCCCATGTATTAATTATTGAAACTGTCCTACTAATCGGTTTTAAAACTGTCTCACTTCTATTTGTTTCTCAATAAAATTAATTTTAAAAAAGAAAAGAAAAACAAACCTTTCCTCCCTTTAGCTTTGGGTGTTGCATATTTCATTTTAGCAAGAAGAAAAGTAGTGAAGACGTTCTAGGCAAGGGCCACAGTTCCAAAACTGTGAGTGTCACTGTCCCACGAGGGCTAGGGTTAGAGCCAGGGTGAGGGTACAGTTAACTTAGGGTTAGGGGTAGGTTTCCACTAGGGTTAGGATTAGGATAATGTTTGGATTAGAGATAGGTTTAGGGCTAGGTTTGTGTTTAGAGTTAGGATTATTGTTAGTGCTTTGGTTAAGTTTAGGATTAGGGTGAAGGTTAGGGTTAGGGTGAGGCTTACTGTTAACATTGTGTCTAGGAGTAGGGGTTTTCTTAGGGTTAATTTTAGAGCTAGGGTTCAAACTAGGATTAGTCCAGGGTTAGACTAGGCCGAGGCCAATTATGAGGATTATCATCCTAACAGAGGTGTTAATCCTTACAGAAGTTAGGGTATCAGTTGGGATTATGGAAGGTAGAGGGTTAGGGTCTGGGCTAGGGCTTGTATAGTGTTAATTAGGGTTACACTTACTATTAGGTTTAAGGCTATGACCCTGGCCAAGTTTAGGCCTAAATTTAAGGTTGAGCCCAAGCACTACAGCTCAGATTAGAGCTAGGGCAAGGGTTAGGGTTAGAATTAAGGATAGAGTTAGGATTAGGGCTTGGTATAGAGGTATGGCAAGGTTAAGTATAGTGTTCAGGCTCAGGATAGGAATGGGTTCAGGATTAGGTTTAGGGCTAGAGCTAGGGCTAGTGTTAGCATAAGGTCTAAGACTAGGGCTAAACTAAGTGTGAGATTATGGTTATGGTTTGGGTTAGTTTTATGGATAGGTGTAGTTCTAGCACTACCACCAGGGAGCTGGTTAGGGTTAGTGTTAGGGTTAGGGTTACATTTTGGTTATCACAAGGATTAGGGTTACTGTTAGGTGTAGGGCTAGGCTCAGGTTAGGGCTAAAGCCTGGGCTAGGGTGAGTACTATGTCTAAGATTAGGATTAGGGTAGAGTTA